CCTTGGTAAAAATAAAAGGGAGAAAGACGTGGGGCCTTTGGAAGGACAATAACCCATCACAACACAACGCACACTTTTTAATTACAACCATTTGCCCTCCCCGCACCGCTCCCCCCAATTTAATATCACAGTTTGGAATTGATTAAACGAATTTGCAGCTAATTATTACACAAACCCTAAATTAAAATTAAAAATTAAAACTAAAATAATAAGCTAGCATGCCAAAAATAAAATATGAATGGCTGCCTCGCTTCCGGTCCTTGAATGACAAGGAAAATTGCCATGCAATGCTCGAGTTCCCGCCTTTGCCGAAAATTTCGTCGTAATGCCCCGAAATTTCCGCCTCTTTTTTTTTGGTACTGGTCCAAACATTGGGTACAAAGCTCCAGAAGGTTTTGGGGTGACTAGTTTTTTTTTTTGCTGCTGGTTTTCCTGGTTTTTCTGCAACGAGGAGCCCAGAAAGGGGCAAATGGGCAAAAGTATTTTTCCCGAAGTCTGGAGGCAAGGCTCTCAGCCGAGACTCCGTAACCTCAGAACGAGCACAACATGCGCAATCACTGAGCGCTTAATCGATGACGTCTGAGTCTTAAGGTCGATCAAAAATGGGGTGTCTACAGCAGCTCTCCTGGACCCAAGACCCCCACAGTAACCCCCCTGTCATCAATATCTCAACTGGGTTCTCTTTTTTTTGATCAATCATTTCCTTATTGAAGTTGGGTTTGTTCTGCAGAGTAGACTTTCATAGTCTTGGATAAAGAATTGGTTGTTGGAGACTTCATCCATGGAGATGCCCATGTTGAAGGTCAGTTGGACTTGCACACCCCCTCTTTTATTTACTGAATGATTTTTAATTTTTAATTTTATTACTATTCTTTGATACTCTTGTTGTTTGCAATTGCAATTGAATTTTGGTTGTCATGTATAGTCGGTGTGGAGTATTGTTGATAACTTGATATTAATGAAATTTCTTTGTTGTATTGATAATTTCATACACATATGTGCTTATAATTGTGCTTGTATCAATTTTGTGAAGGTTAACCACTATTGAAAAAGGTCTCTCTAGAGATTTTTTTTTATGGCTTTTCACAGCTATGGAAAAGGGGCTGTTGTAGACGTCCCCCGAACGCCCTGGGAGGGTTAGTCCCGTTCTGTTCATTTGGGGTTACTACAGTTCGGACTCGACTTGTGTCACGGTTCTTAATCTGAACCAAAGAGTCCAAACCTAGCAAATCGTTTTGAGAAACAGTTTTTAGATTTTTTTTATGGCTTTTCACAGCTATGGAAAAGGGGCTGTTATACAATCCCATCTTCCCCCCTGAGAACCCTGATGCCTCCCCCTAGGCTACACTATTTTATTTTTATTTATTTATTTATTTTTTGCGGGGAGATTTGTGTTTTTGAGATTTCTCCTCTATGCTATAGAGTCTAATCTCTTTATAGCGATCCCGGTTTTCCCTCTCATGTTTACTGTATTCCAGACTCGGTTCCGTTGATTGTTGTCGTTGTCTATATTTCATTTCCGTCCTCTAACACTTTGTATCTGAGTTTAGAATTGTCTTGCGCGTGTTTTGAATAGGTTGGTTGAGCTTTGTCTCAACTCTTGTTGCCTAGAATTTTGGTGATCTGCTCGAGCGGGTCTTCTTGCGCTCGAGCGGAGTTTGCATACCTTCAGTAGTTTGTTCGTTTGCAAAAATACTGCAGATGTGTTTTTCACGCTCGAGCAGATTTCCTTACGCTCGAGCGGGTCGCGCTCAAGCAGGTACCCTTGCGCTTGAGTGGGTGTTCGATGTCTGTAAAAATACTGGAAGAGTGTAATCTACGCTCGAGCGGGTTTTCTTTTGTGCTCGAGCGGGTGGAGTTTTGCAGTTGTGTCTTGGCGCTCGAGCTGGTATTCTTGTGCTCGAGCGGGTCCAGTTTTTGTGTTTGACTCTCGAGCGTCCTATTCTCCGCTCGAGCGCGTCATACGTATATCAGTTGGCAGCTGGATCATTTTATATCACTTTTTCAACTCTTACTCTCTCTCTTACTTTTCAAAAACCTATTTTGAGAGCTTCTCTTACTACATCTCAACTTCTCTCTAAGGTTTGATCTAGTTTGAGTGATCTTCTACCTTAGTTCCTTTGCAAAGAGTGTAGAGCTTGGCTTGGGCTACCTATCAATCCGAAAATCTTGGGATTTGGAGCACTTTCGATTTTCTTCACCTTCTCTTTTGGGCTTCGAATTTGAGGTAGGGATAACTACTCATATTTATGATCTTTGACATAAACTTGTTGTCATTTTGATGTAATGTTGAAGTTGGGTAATTGTGGGTGTTAGGGTTTCAAATATGAAAAGAGGGGTTTTGTTATTTTGGCCAATACACGTGTTTTGGGTCTTAAAAGAGGGTAGTGATACTATTTGTTAATATTGGGATCTTTGGGGTCAATGTTGAGAAAAATGGGAAGAGCCCTAATCTATTATTAAGAATTAATTTGTATAATTAATTTGGGAAAGTTATGGGAATGTGAAATTGAGTTGGAGATAATGAAAATGGCTCATTATGAGGTAGAATGGTGGAGTTGGATTTATTAATCACCCACCTTGGAATTGTTGATAATTTATCTGTTGGATGTAATTATTGTCTGTTTAGAAATAATAGCTTTGGGCTATCGGTGGAGGATAGTCTTGATTGTTGTAGACACTGCATGATGATTAGGTGAATTGAAACTAATCTGTTGAATATGTCATTGAATATGGCGGTTAGAATAATACATCGAATCTGTGTATTGATTGATCGTGTATATGATAATTGTTTATATACATTGTTTTGTGTGAGAGGAGATAGGGGATGTACTCCATGGTTTAGGGGAAGATAGGGGATGGACTCCTAAACCGGATGTTATTTGGGAGGAGATAGGGGATGGACTCCATTGATACAGCGAATCTGTGTATCATTTATGAAGTATGGAAGTGTTTGAATATGGCATTGATACAACAAATATGGGTATCTATTGTGAATTATGAAAGTGTTTTGTTGTGAGTTATAATCTCACTTAAATTGTTGATATTGGAGAAGTTTTTAACATGAGCCGTAGTCTCATGGGAATTGTTTGGCCAAGTTCTGAGCCATGTTTATAAGTCAAAATTTGTTAAGTAAAGGAAAATGGAATGAAGCATGAACATATGTGTCATGGAACTGAAATGTGTTATGAGTTGATTTGTATGAGTTAAACATTTATCGAATGCTTATGTTTTAGTCGTTGTTCATATTATGTTTAGCATATCTCTACTGGGCGTTGGCTCACCCTATATGGGACATCGTTTTCAGGTGGAGGTGATATGCCGCCTCCAAGGACTTAGCTTGGGAGGTTTTAAGAGCTGAAGGCTTACTTTTGTAATTATTTTGTGTATTACATGTAATTCAAGCCAAGGGCTTATTTTGTATTTTGAGTTAGTACTCTCATTTTTGTAACCAAGTGTTGGCTTGGAAAGTTGTAAGTCCGTAGGGCATTTACTTTTGCTGTCAACATGTAATACCTTTGGATTAAATACTCTGATGAATGAAAATATGTTTATTTCTCCTATCTTTATGGATGTCACGAATGTATGGTTTATGGGTTTATTTTGAGGGTGTTACAACTAGTATCAGAGCGTACCGGGTTCGAATACTTTGGGTACGCGGGAAGTGGTTAGTGCCACAATGGGTTTGTCTTGCTTGTTAGAGACTTTGATGTAATGTTATGTACTTATGTGATAACATGTTTATGTGACTACTTGGGTATGGGATTTAGTTTCTAGGATGTTGATTGGATCCTTGGGTTTCTGGGAGTCCTATTGGAAAAGCACTTGATCAATGCTGTTTCTAACTGGAACTCTAGTAACGCCTCGGGACTATCATTATCCAGAAATGAAATTCGTAAGTGCTTATGCGATTATGTGCTTACATGGAATGAATTACAGTTGTCCATTGCATTAGGATGTGAGTGTTATAGCTTCAACACATTTATGAATGTGCTAATGTTCTTCGTTACCTTTATTAGGATGTCAGGACGAGGACGTTGTGGTAGGCGAGCTAGGCCTAGGAGGCAGGAGATGCCTATACCGGATGAGATTCCGGCGCAGCATGAGGGTGTTGGTCAGGCCAATGTGGCCGAGCCAGCAGGACAGCAGGACATGGATGCCTTAGCCCACGAGATAGCAGGAGCTTTGAGGGAATCTATGGGCATTTTTAAGGCTGAGAATCAAGCCCAGGCCTATGCAGTTGAGGCAGGGCCTTCCTTTCTGAAGAGGGAGTTCTTCCGGTCTAATCCGAACGAGTTTGTGGGCGATCTGAAAGAGCCACTTAAGGCTGATGAGTGGCTTGAGCAGATGACGAGGACGTTTGAGATGCTTGGTATCGAAGACGGGGCTTTGAAGGTGACCTTGGCGTCTTTCCAATTGAAGGGAGATGCGGGTCAGTGGTGGAGGTTCATGAAGGGTCATGTTGGTGATACATGAGAGGCCTTTGTAGATGCTTTCCAGGAGAAGTTTTTGTCTCCAGCTGTTGGGGAGAGGTTGAGGGACTAGTTCTGTCAGCTCAAGCAGATGAGTATGCCAGTGGCCGAGTTTGAGGCCGCATTTACCAATTTATCTAGGTTCGCACCTGAGCTAGTGGCGTCTGAGGAACACTGTTGCATTGAGTTTAAGAGGAAGTTGAGGCATGGGCTCAAGACCAGAGTTGGGAGATCCATGAACCGGGAGTATGGGCGCCTTATGGATGCCGCGGCCCATATGGAGATTATGATGTAGAAGGAGGAGGAGAGGATGAGGGGCTCCAAAAGGAGTCAGGATGGCCTGGGGGATGGTCGGAGGCAGAGGGGTTCTAACCCTTAGCAGTCCCAGGGGGCTTTTGCGAGATCTACCTTTCCAGTGCCGAGTGCAGGCCCTGGGAGACGCAGTCAGGGAGATGTTACTTGTTACAAATGTGGTCAGCTGAGCCACAAGTCTCCAGCTTGCCCGCAGAGGGGAAGAGGTTAGAGAGCAGCTTCATCTTCGGCTCGACCTCAGAGCCAGAGTCAGGGCAGAGGCTAGCCGCTCTCTTGCTACCAGTGTGGTTAGGCGGGGCACCTGAAGAGGTATTGCCCGCAGTTGAGTGGCACATCTGGTGCAT